CTCATTTTTTCCCTTCCCTCCCCGCTTCCCCCTCCCCTATGAACCCTTAATAATTTATACATTATTATTGTTTTGTCATATCTTATACCATTCTACGTCTCCCTTGCACTTTTCTGCTGTCCTTCCCCCAGGGAGAAGGTCATATGTAGATTCTTGTAATCTGTTCCCACTTTCTCCTTCACCTTCCCGGTATCACCACTCTCACCATTGGTCCTGAAGGGGTTCATGCATCCTGGATTCCTTGTGTTTCTAGTTCCTATCTGTGCCAATGCACATCCTCTGGTCCAGCCGGATTTGTAAGGTAGAATTGGGATCATGATAGTGTGGGGGAGGAAGCATTCAAGAACTAGAGGAAATTTGTATGTTTCATCTTTGCTACACTGCACCCTGACTGGCTTGTCTCCTTCTCGCACCTCCTCTGCAAGAAGATGTCCAATGTCCCACAGATGGGCCCTGGGTCCCCACTCTGCACTCCCCCTCATTCACAGTCCTATGATTTTTATTTTTATTTTTGTCTTTGATGCCTCATACCCGATCCCAGCCATGCCTTGTGATCTCACAGGCTGGTGTGCTTCTTCCATGTGGGTTTTGTTGTTTTTCAGTTAGATGGCCCCTTGTTTATCTTCCAGCCTATAGGACCCCAGATTCTATATCTTTTGACAGCGGGGCACCATCAGCTTTCTTCACTGCATTTGCTTATGCACCGCTTTCTTTTTAGACTGAAATTTGATGCTTTTAAGTTATTTTATTTAAAAGGTAGTTTTATGGCTACAACTAAATGATATTGAATGACCAGAAAGAGGTAAAATGTACTTAAGTTAATTAATATTAGATTTGCCTTGTTTTACCAATTTCTGTATTTAATTGCTTGGTATTTGTTTCCTTATAGGTTACTACCTCCAACAAGAAAACTCAGCACCCTACATCCTGGACGTTCATATTAAAGTTTGAAATTAGGGACTTTTATCAAATTTGGACATGGCTAATCGAGGAGCAACAAGACCCAATGGGCCAAATACTGGAAATAAAATATGCCAGTTCAAACTAGTACTTCTGGGAGAGTCTGCTGTTGGCAAATCAAGCCTAGTGCTTCGTTTTGTGAAGGGCCAATTTCATGAATTTCAGGAGAGTACCATTGGGGGTGAGATTTTTGTTTTTCCCTGCTTCATTTAATTAATATATATATTAACAAAATGTACTTTTAACAATTGTGTGAATGTATATACACCTAAGTCAGTTACAACAGTGAAGAAAAGATCTATTCAACAAACTTAGAGCTTTAAAACCTATCGTGATTAACGTGACATCTTTTTAGTTTTTACTCCATGGTTTCCTAGTTAATCCCAAGTGTGTATGAATTTATTGTATCTAGAATACAGATGCAAACATGTGTAGAGTCAATCTCCCAAGAAAAAAGATTTGTGTCTATGTCTTGACAGTGGTTAGAGGCTTCAAATTATTACATATTTGTACTAAATTTATTGGCTTTCAAATGAATAGTAAAAGAGGTAACTATAGCATCCTAATTCTGCATAACTGGGCTACTTATCAATTAGTTTATACCAATTCATAAATATTCTAGTGAAATAATGAAGCATTTATTTATTTAAGAATGTTGCTAGAGTTAAAAAAAAGGGTGTGATTGCTGGAAAGGGACATAAATGGATATGGAGTCTTGGAAAGAAAGATGAAAGAAGGTCAAGAGATGGACTAAATTGACGAGTATGTAAAGTGTTGTAGCAGGAAAGAAATAGGGGGTGGGGTGGTAACATGTATGACGAAAGACAAGAAACTTACAGGCAGAATGAAATCTAGAAATTAAAACTCATTTTTTAAATCTCTAGTGAAGCTTTGAATTAGGTGATATTGGAGGAACCACACAATTTTAAAATTCCATAGTATTTTTCAAGAGATGTAATGAAGCAGTACATGGGGTCTCTTACCTCCCACTCCACCCCCCAAGTATGTATATCTTAGCCTGACACTTTAAAACACATCTTTTAGGAGTCTAATTTTGTATTACTGTGCATGTAAGTATCCTCAAGCTAGCACTTGGGATTTTATTAGTATCAGATGCTTACAAAAATATAAATTACAGAATTGTACGACTTCCCTGGCTGTTTCCTATATATAGAAGCATAAAAGTGGTATGTGTACTTTAGTAATCTCAGCAGAAAGTGAGGGGGCTTCAACGAATTTGTGGGAAATCTCCATCTTTACATTTCATTTTTCCACAAACTTTTTCTAGCGCCTTCATAATTGTGATTGGTGACCTCTTAACTATCATTTCAGGGTGTACATTTTATCTTTTTCCTTCTACCCGATGAGCCATCAAATGCACCAAACTTTTACTTTGAATCAGACATCTTGGTGCTTAAAATTATTTTACTGTATGGTACAGATTACCTCCTTGGTAGTTTTTTGTTGATGACATTTGATATGTCTCATTTGGTAATGAAACTTACACCTCCTCTTGAAGAGGTTTAGCCCCAGAAAGCAAATTGGGCCATGTGGTAGGAAATATTTAAAATACTCCTTAGTCATAGCCATTCATGCTAAACTGGTGTAGAAAGTGGACATTATTGTAAAGCTTCTAGGGAACTTATTGTTAGTAGCAATATTTCCCAAAGTACCTGGGCCAAGTAAGTTTAGGATTTCAGTTTGCTGTTCTCCACCTTTTCACCAAATCTACTCATTAGAGTTGAGTGGATTCTGGCTCATAGCGAACCCTATGTAGTGTATCTGAGGCTGTAGATCTCCTCAAGAGCAGATAGCCACAACTTTCTCTCCCATCACCCTCTTTTCACCATACTTCATTAAAATAACTAAAGCTCTGTAGTAATTTTTTCCCTTATGATAACTTAAAAGGACATTTAATTTTTATTATTAGTATATCATAAACATACATATCCTGTGACTGTGTGTGTACGGATATATTATCTCCACTTCTGTTAACACCAGTTAGATTGTCTACTTTTTATGTAGTAAAAGTTTTCTTCATATGTATTTTCTAGTTGCGTGGGTTAAATCTTCCTGATAGTAATTTCTTCAGGAGGCATGACGGTGCCACCATGATTATACCTGTGGGCCCTGTTCTGTTATACTGTTTGCTGATGGTTCTTAACTCTGAGGAAATAAAGTAGACTCTAAGCATTTACAGATTCAAGGTTTAACCTATTTAATGCTTGGCTACAAAGGCCCATAACTTGGAAGTACCTCATTTTGTAACTAATAAGCTCACATTTATATTACGCGCATAGAATGCATAGGAAAATAATATGCCAAGGAGTTGACTGGTTTGCAGGAAATGCATAGTACATGTGTGATTTTCATAAACATACAGTAAGAAACATTTCAGTTGTGTGTGGTAGAAGTTTTCTGACAAAGAACCTGGCCAAGTACTTTGTAGTTCAACTGTCTTTCTGTGTACTTCTTTTATCTAGCTACATTGGAGTTCTAAGAAGTGCACTAATTTTATCTGTTTGATTGTGTACTAAAGTAGAAATGATATGCTTTACACTCTTGAGAGTGAATTTGTGAATTTTCGATTCTTAATGCATTCATCAAGAATGTCAGTCTCTTATAGTTTGTGTGGCTCCTCATACAAAACAAAACCAACAATAGACGGTGTTTTGTCCTGTTGTACATGGGGTTACTATGAGTCGGAACCTACTGAGGGCACTTCACAACAACAATGTGCCTTCTCATAATCATCTAACTTGACTTAGAATCGCTGTTGGTCTCATACTCCCCACCCCCATCTTTGCTACTTTGCACTATAGCACTCTGAATGAAATAAGACTTGCCATTTAGCGATTTGGGAATTGCTGCTGTTGAGCTAAAGCTAACTCAGGGGCTCAATTCAGGGCCTTTGCTAACAACGTTTTGAGGTTTTTTTGGTGCATTGTTGTGATTTGGGAGCTTTAGTTTAGAATACTTTGTCAAACTGCTCTCTGGGGGATGCTAGAATGATCCAGAGCTACAAAAGCAGATGACAACACTTTATCCAGGACTATAGGTTGTAGTGCAAACGTTTCTCTTTGCAAAGGGTTCCTCGGTTATTTTTTTACTATAAAGAAACCATAATCCAGAAGTGGTCTACGTCCCTACCCTAGGTGGTAGTATTGCCCGGGTGCATCTACATTGTTGGACAACTTGTTAGAAATGCAAATTCCTTTACTGAGTCAGACCACTAGCAGTGGGGCCAGTGGTCAAAAATCTGAAGTTTGAACAAATCCATGGGATTCTGACACATCTTAAAGGTTTGAGCTGTGCTTCACATGTTCTGAGTAGTCGATTTCACATATGATATAGTTTATGACATAGTTGGTTCTCCCACAAATGGAATCATTGCTTTTCTTTTTTGTTTTTGAATTATGGGTTCTTTTTTGTTTTTCCCCCGAACAGTTCTATTGGCATATAATTCAAATATCAATCATGCATACAATTCATTTGTTTAGTCTCACCAAAAAGAGTTGTATAATCATCACCACGATCAGTTTTAGAACTAACCTATGGTTTTTTAGGATTTTTCTAAGTATACTTTTCATCCAACTTTAGAATATAAAGCCAGTATTAAGTATGCTCATGTTATCTATCTGTATCTCTGTGTGGGAACCCTTTTCTGCTAAACTGTTAACCTTCTGCTGGGCTGATTTAAGAAAGCTCGAACTTGTGCTCTGGGCCATCAGTAATATTTTGCTCTTCTGTACTAAGGAAGTTAAGAGTATTCACAATATTTAGGAATTTAAGCATCAGCCATTCTTAACCCTTACTGGAGAACTTATGTTTTTCACAATTGTCCCACCAGTTGTGTGGCTCCATGTGCGTCAGAGTAGAACTGTGCTCCATAGAATGTCCGGTGTCTGATTTCTCAGAAGCAGATTGCCGAGCCTTTTTTCCCCAAGGTCCCTGAATGTGCTCTTATCGCGTCTGTGAACAGCCAAATGCATTCAACCATTCGCACCACATCAGTGACTGACTTCTCTGAGTTGGTTATTTGACTTTCCTGGAAGAAGAAAGTTCATTCGTTCTACTTCCACATACAACATCCGCACAAGTCTGGTGTGTTTCCTTTTCAGACTCAATGTCTAATGAAATTTTAAAAATTATTATCAAGTTTTAAGTTGTTATTAGCACATTATTATACTTTTTACTAATTTATGGCCAGAACATTGTCAAGATTTTTAAAATGTAGTTTAGAGAGAGGACTCTACATCAGAATTAGTTTTTAATAATCGAGTTTCTAGCATATTCCAGTTGCATGATATTAAGGAAGTCACACCTAGGTTTCTTTCCTTGTATATGAAATATACCTAACTCATAAGAATTAAAGAAATAATGCATGTAATTTTTCTTAGCAGGATGCTCAGAACAGAAAAAATGCTTATTAAATATTAGCTGTTAACCCTATTATTAATTACCACCCTTTTCTCTGAGTCATTTTTATCACTTGATAATTTTCGTATTGTTGTGACATGGGATTACTTTGAAATAATGATGATTGTAACTGATGACTAGCACTTGGTTTTAGATTTAGATATTTGGTTTTAGAATTTATAAACGAAGTTGTGCAAATTCGCTTACGTTGATAATCAAGCTTCTTAAAACCTGTATCAGATTCTTAATATTGTCCTTGCCTATCTATGGGTAGTCATGTACATCACATTAAATGCTGGTTGTCCACATTAAGTTTTTTTTTACATTTTCCGAAATGTATGCAGATTACAAAAATCTACTTCAAAAATAGAAAAGATAGCCAGCCAAAAAATTGAATTGATGCAATACCTTGTTGTCCTTAGTTGAAAACTTTCTAGAATAATATTCCCCTTCAGAAAGACTTACTTAGCTTTTGGAAAGATTTGTTTGTATAATTGTAATCTCGACATTCATTTTACTTAATGTGCCCTTATTCTGTATCTGAATATTGTTTTAAATTAAAAGTACTTTTGAGGAAGAGCAGAAGAGCTAGTGAACAAGCTATCAGTAATGAATTTTGATTTATGAGACAAAGGGTATTTGAGATACTCATCACACCTTATGAACTGCCTCTATTGAGTCACTAATTTGCTGGTTTTATTCTGTTAAAAACTGGGCAACACTCTTGCTCAATGATTTATGCAGCAAATGTGCCACATTTCT